AAAAAAAAAAAACAGAGGCCCTCAAATTCAAACTTCTCAACAGCCATTGTGGTTACTTGTGTTCAATTTAAGAACCTAAATGATCTATTATCCAATTTCTCCATCCAATATTTTCATTAAATTGATTTATGAAATCCATAGATTTTTTGGCACTGCAAAAATTTTAAATACAAAAATTTAAGAGCAAAATTTGTTGTAAAAATTACCTTTCTTCTGTAGATGACGACTTCCTGTAAACTTTGGGCGATAAAAATTCACAGAGATCTTGTGATTTGCAAAGTGTTTGGGGATGAAAAATTGCGCGAGATATTTTTTTGTGGGAGATGGAGAAAGAAAGAAAGAGAGTATAAAAATGGAATAAAAGTAAAAAGCTGTCATGAGCTTTTTCTAAACGTTAGTATCACAAGCTTTTCAAATAAGCTCGAACTTTTTAAAAAAGTTCATCCTATCAAACAAGAGTTTTGTAAATTAAGGGAGCTTATAAGCTATTTAAATAAGTTATAAGCTAGCTTATTTGTTTACCAAACACAACCTAACTTCTACTATGGCTATGTTTGGTAAAACTAGCTGATAAGCTAGCTGATAGCTGATAAGCTAGCTTATAGCTTATATGTATTTTTTAGCTTATATCTTTTAGCTTATGACTTATAGCTGAAAATCTAGCTTATATGATAAAAGGTGTTTGGTAAATTAGCTGATAAGCTAGTTGAAATAAAAAATTCAACTAGCTTATTTGAAAAGCTACCTAAAGTAGCTTATGAAATAAGCTCGAGCTTTTTAAAAAAGCTTGTCCTACTAAACGAGACTTATTTTAAATATGGAGCTTATAAGCTAACCAAATAAGCTATAAGCTAGCTTATTTGGTTTACCAAACATACCTATATCTATTCATTTTCCCTGTTGCTACTGCTTCCACTGAGCAGAGCTCTTTCATCTCTCTCATACTGACTTGAGCGTCGGAAGCTCTACGCCAGAAATACTTCCGGCGTTGAGTTCTTGCAGGTGTTTACGACGTTCTAACAACGATTTGGAGGCGGTTCGAACAGATCGGAGCTCATATCCACCAGTTAACTCCAGATCTAGGAGGAGACACATCATATTTTTTTTTCTAATTACGAGGTAAAAATACATTTTAATAAAACTAATAAGTTTACTAATATATATGTACTAGTACAACACATGTGTATTACACGGGTGTTTGTTAAAAAAATATTTTGAAATTTTAAAATAAATAAAAAATATTATTGTAAATTTTATTTACATTTTTACAAAAAATATATATTATTATATAGTTTAGAATGACATTTGCTACTTGTGCGACCTACATGTGTTATATTATACTAAGTTTTATAACTTATGATATTAACTACTTGAAATATATTTTTTTTTTCCGAAACGATGTATATAATATATAAAGGAACAAATGTACAAGAGTACAACCACCAGTTGAATTCACACCCAGCCACCAGCTGAATAAAATTGGGATGATGGGTCGAATGACCGCCTAGAACCGACCCTAACAGGGTAATAACCTAACAACACAAAACACAACACTAAAACAACCCCAACAGGGTAAAAACACAACACTGAAACGACCCCAACAGGGTAATGCTCGAGTGTGGTTTCCCAACAGGATAATAAGGTCACACTCGAGCGAACCGGGGCTAACGGCCCAAACCTAAAATACAACAACAACAACAAAACACAACTAGCACAATATAGAAACAACGACAACACACCTACAAAAACTAACAAACAGACACAAAACTAATGGAGCCCTTCCTCGTCGCACGACCTATCCCAACCAGCAGTGAAGTGATCGACACAAGAAGGATTCGAGGTCCAGAAGCTGCTACCGAAACTGCAGAAGGCCTATACAGTAGGTTAACCTGAACCCCAGACCTCTCCCCGAATCAACCCGTCTTTGACCGAGAGAGCCGCAATCAACCCCCACACCGGTGCCACCAGAGCTAATCTAACACCACTAGATGAGACGGATAGCACCAATCTCCAGATGCCTAACACCACTAGTCGAACCGAGAGGGTGAGTGAAGATCGAGCCTTCAACCCCAACCACCGCAACGAGAGCTGCCACAGCCATCGGAGTCCCTTCCCCTCGACGACGCACGCCCCATCCAACCCCACCACAGCATGCCGACGACCAGGAATCGGAGCCCCACCAGAGAGGCACAGCCCCGCCGTAAACGGCCTAATCCATCCAGAACAGTCAAGGGCGAAAGCAAGGGACTTACCCCCTCCAGACGGGACATCGACTGCGTCAGAAGATAGAGATCCCGACTCAGGTCCATCGCCGACCGGGAGAGGCGCTGCCGCCGGGGAAAGCCCCAACCGCTGTCGGGAATAGAAACCCTATTCTCCGCCAGCTAGAGTGAATTGGAGGTGCGAAATGTCAGGGGGAGGAGGAGGACGGTCTAGACGACTCCTGGCCGAGCATATGTCGGCAACAAGGAAGGCCAATCGGTCGGAATTTGGAGAAGACCTCAAGCACCGACGAGGGTTTTTGGTTGCGAGAGCAGAGCAGATATTTCACGAATAAACTTGTATATATAAATATGTTAATCGATAAATAATTTTATTTTTCTAATTAATAACAAAAAGAAATTTTATTATTGTTATAAAGATAAATATATTTTTTTTATTCATACAATGCGGATGTTAAATCGAAGCTCATCAAGAGATGATTAATTTGATATATTATAAATGTAAAACTGATAATAAATACAGAATTTATTAACTTTTAAAATATATTTACAATTCAATAATTATAATAAAAAATGATATTAAAATACAATTAATACATGTAATATGACCATCAATAATCGACATATTTATGGATAATCCGAACTTAATTATTTTTAGATTGAAAATAAATTAAAATCTACCCAAGCAACGAAGCATGTAATTTGTCATATAAGATCCCGAAGCATGAGAGTCTGCCACTTAAGCTTCAACACGTTCTGAATTAATAAATTCAGATCGGAGCTCATATCCACCAGTGCTCTCCAGATCTAGGAGGAGACACATCATATTTTTTTTTTCTAATTACGAGGTAAAAATACATTTTAATAAAACTAATAAGTTTACTAATATATATGTACGAGTACATTTTAATATACATTTTAAAAAATATTCTGAATTTTTAAAATCAATAAAAAATATTATTTTAAATTTTATTTATTTTTTTATAGAAAAATATATATTATTATATAAATTAGAATAACATTTGTTACTTGTGGGAATTACATATGTTATATTATACTAATTTTTATAACTTATGTTATATAACTACATGAAATA